GCCCAGAGATATTTCAAGATGGCTGCCGAGTACCAAGACTTGCTTCTAGAAGGACATTTACATGAAAAGAGGCTGTTTTAGAGTCCTAGTAGAAATGAATGTACCAAACCTCACATACAAAAAAAAAAACATTCATAAAATATGCATTTAGTAACTAACAAAATAGAAAAGATGCAGCATTTTCTTATGTTTTTCACTTTAAAATTGAACTTGCACTGTAATAGTGGGGATCACCATTATGCGGTTGTCTATGTTGGTTTCATGAAAATATATTTACATAGGACTCAGAGCAAAGGGCTAAAGGTTAGTGAAACAGGAACACCCAGTCACATACATACTTCCATGCACACACCCAATGTGCAAATTGCATTACGGAGAAACCTGAAGCTGAAGGCTACAAACCCCCAACTGCTGCACGACTGGTCTGCTCAAGTGAGCTTCTGCTGTTGCTGCATTTCCTCAGGGCATTGCAACCGACAACCATCACACCACCAAGATACTGGATGTTTCTCATTTCACCCATATATAAGCACCCATTTACGACACCAAACCCTGCAAACCTTTGTATTCCCACTGAGTGCACCACAAGGCAGGGATGGCCCTGTGCCATGTGACCACATCCCACAGCCAGCTTCCAGGAGAGAACAACAGCTAGATTCAGTGATGCTCTCTTGTAACCCTGTTCACCCCTCCCTCTCTTTGCCTAAAGAGTAGACTTGAGCCCTTGCATAATGCATTATGCATTTGTCATCATGCATCAAGATAAAAATAGTTTATTCTTCAAGGTAAAGATTATACATGAATTCACATACACACATTAATCTATAAAGGCTTTATACCTACATTGTGACAAGATACCCCCAACCTAAGGATGTGCCAGAGTCAGCTTTCACAAAACTATAGACCTAATGGATTGGCTACACTACATGGATTGGTTACAGATTTGGAGAGTCTTAATATCTACATTTGCTTGTGATAGTGACAATAATGGGAATAGGAGACCCGGCCATGCCAAATTCTTGTGATTTCTGTTCCCCAGGAGCTCACCTGATGTTGGTTGTAGTTGTTCCTCTGCTGCAGGAAGGCGCCCTGCTGGGGATGCATCTGGGGACTAACGGGGGATCTGCGACTTTGCGGCTGCTGAGGGACGTTTATCTGGGGTGAGAAAGGACCGCTGAAGCCCTGCACGTTAATCCCGGCGCACGGATTAGCTGACACCGGAGAAAAACTCTGGAAGAAGGCCGGGTTGATGGAGGAGGGGATACCTGGGTAGAAGCTGTTGTCAGAGTCCGCGTTGGGCATATGGTTAATGGCGTTCGCGTGGATGGGGTTGATGGAGTTGGGTGCGGGCGGGGGAGAGGAGCTGGTCTGAACGGACCAAGGGGTGCCGAACCCAGGGAGGGAAGGTGAAGACGAACCCGCACTGGCGCTCTGCAACTCCTGGGTGGGGAGGTTCGGGAACGCGGCGCCGAGACCTCCGGACAACATGTTGCCGGTGCTGCTGCTGCTGCCATTGCCGTTATTTATATGGTGGGCGATAGGGGAGTCCATTTGGATCTTGTTTAGGTTTACGGAAGTGGGCAATGGCGACGCGGCATCAGCTTCAGCCTCTTCCACTGGAGAGCCGCGGGGGTCAGCGGCGCTGAGTTTGGTCTTGGAGAAGGGCTGCCTCTGCGGCAGGTGACTGAAACGTCCCTGGGGTGGGGTCGGCTCTGTGGGGCTGAACTCAGTGTGCTGACCTAACTGCTGATGTATTTTTCTGCTGTGCTGAAGGTCACAGATAGACTGCGTCGGGCAGAAATGATCAGGGAAAGCTATCTTCTGCTCTACGTGGTTATAATCCGGCGTGAACGAGCTCAGCTGGCCGTCGTTGTGCCTGTCGGTTTGGTTCGGCTGCTTTCCGGGTTTGCTGACCGGGCTGCTGCTGCGGTCCGTTTCCGTGGTTGACGGGGGTAACTGTGTGGTTGTCACCCCCACAGGCTCATCCTGCATGTTTTACTGATGCGCAGCAGCTGACAGAAACAGCAGGGACAAGGCGACGCTGCTGAAAGGCGAAAAGAGGGAGGAAAACCGGTAGGACGAGGCGTAGTATCCGTCCGCCGATGTAAAATACTAAATTCGACGTTTAAATAAGGCAAGAAATGACGACGAGAATATATTTAACCAGCGTTCCTAAATGAGGTCTATTCAAAGAGTGTGTGTGAGAAGGCTGCAGACTACAGCGCTGAGAGGAGGGGGTCTGGCCTGTGCAAATAGTCGGCTCGCTCGATGTCTAATCTCCGTTTCACTCGGTGATATTATCATCTGACTAAAGACCGAGCTTTTTAGGCCTTGTACACTAGCCTAGCCTGTACGGTCCATTCCTGTCCGACCGTTCTGCCCCCTCCTCTGGTTACCGGCTGTGCTGCTGCGGCAGAGGATTAAAGATCCCCGACTCAATCGACGTCACGACCGCATCACGCCTGTGCGCCCGCCTCGAGCCCGAGCTGCAAAGAGGACCGCATTGTTTACGTCACTTTTTCATTATTCATAAAGTGCAGTAGGCCTAAAACCCTCAGCAAATAAAGGCCACTGTAGGCTGACTGTGGCCCTAATTATGACCAATAATTTTATGACTAATACTGTATGGCCACATGACTAAATTTGTATGGCCATGTAGCGAAGTGACCCTATAGCAGCCATTGCAAACTACTAGTCTGTTAGCATATTCATATTCATCGTCAAATATTCAAGAGCCAGTAACCCTTTCGTATTTATATTTCACAATACATGGTGTTAATTTGAAATATTTTAATTCAGCTAAAGTGACATTCAGAAGCCTAATTCAAACGCCCAGCCAGGATACATTACGCACTCTTATTGAACTGGATGTTAACGCCACTTTGGCCTTTCTATTCTGCATGTCTCACCAATAGTGCTTTGAAAAAAGCTCAAGCATTTCCAGGGTACACATTGTACAGTTTTCATCCGCCCGTGCCTATCAGTATTCAGTCCACAACCATCGTGCGTGCGTCTGCGCCAGCGTCACTTTACGCATGTACGCCGACAAGCTAAATATAGTTTTCTATGTCAGCGCGTGTCAGGGGAGATGAATCTTCTTCGCCTGCACTGAACTCAAAGCTGACAAGTAACCCCAACATATGATCTGCCACCAGCAGCTCTATGTGGCTACTAGGTAATCTTTTTCTTTTTTTGGAGCGAGTGAGAGAGCGCATCCCGGGAATGCCACCAACTGACTGTGTTTTAGGACACAAGGCAGAGACAACAGAATGTTTTAGATGGTCTCTTCCCTCAGCAGCTGAGAAGTAGATGTCCTTAATTCATTTTAAAATACAAAACAAGCATCCGTGGGGAATTGGAGATATACAAATGAAAAAAAAATCCGTTCTTATTTTGACAGAAAGCCCACTTTCAGTGCGTTACTCCACTGCATTTTCTGTGTTAGCACAAATATGGATGAAGAATTTTCACTTTTTTTAAAGAGTGAAACTGAATAAATCATCGCGGCATCTCTGTTTGAAGGCGATTTTTAACGAGGTAGACAAATACCAGAGTAGCAAAGCAATGTGCATGATGGACCTACCATCTGGTCCCTGCTAATGATGATAGCTCACATGACACATAGCGTATTGCTTGAAAACGGTGCTGCCAATTCCATAATTTTACCAAGAACTTGATAAATATTTTTGGATAAAGCGTTATATATATTTAACTATTACAGTCACCGGTATGTGTGTATACTGGAGAGTGAATCTCTGTCTGTTTTACAGTCAAGCTGAACTTAAAGTAAGACTGAAAGTGATCACTGAAAGCACTTGACCCCTATCACTGATGTCTTATTTTTCCTCCCCCTACTCACTGCACCTATGTCTTTTGGGCATAAAGCAGCAGAGAGAAGAAGCCCCCCCGGAAATTCCCTATGATAAGGTCCCAGATGGAACAATCCCACCAGTGAGGGGGCAGGTGTGGTGGCCACAGTTGGAGCTGAGCACCAGTGATTAGCCAAGCCCAGTAGTGCAGCAGGGAGTTAAATGGGGCAGGCTGCCAGCTGCTTGCGCCTGATGATGATGATGAGTTTGGGGGGGGCGGGGTGGGTGGTGGTGACACGGTGGGGGTTATCCTGGTAGATGGGGTGGAGGCAGGGTTGGTGTTAGAGAGAGGAGGGAAGGGGGTGGGGGTCTTTTCTGTGACTCTCACCTGGCCCAACACACACAAAATTTGACACATCTGTCCAAATACTGTACACAGTTCTCCATATTTGCATTCACTTTCAGATCAAACTGTCTGAGTATGTTGAAACATCGAGCCAACAAATATAAGTGTAATGATATCAATACAAGCGAGCATATGTCATCGGATCATGAGGGTGCATCATGTGGCTGAAATAAAGTAGCTACGCTCATTCAAAGCAGGTTTTGAGAAAGCACCTGGCCCACTAAGCAATCTCAAATTTCACCATGTTTATAAAGCTTGATCTATTTAGGTCTCTGTCAGAGAGGATGGCAGTCACACTGCAGCTGCAGTCGTCATAGCAACAGGTAATCTGCATTTCCTTTTGTGTGCTTGATTAGCCTGTTTGACTCAGGGCTCTCACCCTCTCTCAGTCTGTATGTTTTGAAGGGTTGGGCCGATGCCACTGATCAGCTCATTCTATCTCACGGATGCATTCATCAGCGGTGATGACATTGTATTCTGAGAGTCACGAGTGTGTGTGATTCAGGTTTTTATAATCCCATCCCAGCATACAGGATGTATGCTTTTTGCATGCCACGCAACTATTCTTTCAGGGCTGCAACTGTTTCCTTAGACAGAAGCACCAACAACCCTTTGTTTTTTCAGTGGGTACCTGGAGATTCAAAATGTGTTTATGTCTGATCTGTAAATACATAAATGCTAATATTAAATTCAGATCAATCCGAATGACAAAAAAGATGATTTTTTTTTTTTTTTGGGGGGGGGGGAGTTGCAGTTTTTAAGATATCTAATATTTGTTTAATTACCAAAATATAAAAAGATTAGCATAATATAGTTTCTCTTACTTACAGCATTTAACTTAACGCAAAAAAGTAAAAGTAAACAACAGTTTCCCTTTCTAGAGTCAGTCCCTCTTTAATCTTGCTAAATGAAAGACCTTGCCACGGGCAGTTTTCATTGGAACAACTTTCTAAAACTTAGCATTATATTCAGTAGCTTGGTTTAGGGCAATATGTGCACTGACTGTAGAAAGGGATGAGGTTTTAAAGTGTAAGGCGTAGTGGCCCTGAGGTGCAGGACACACCATAAACACCACCAACAAAAATCCACAAACAAAAAAAGCATTTCAAAAAAACACTGGTCAACCTTCCACTTCCCTCAAGTGTGCTTTCAGAGGTCAAAATGATAGTTTAATGTAATATGTCGAGAATAACTGCATTACATGCATATCCATAACACGAACTTAGAGTTATATTAAAAAGCAAATCAGCTTCCCAAGCTTTTTCATAACAGAGTAAACCACCATAATTGTGAGCCTCTGAATTAACACGCTTGTTGTCTTGCTGAACATTTCCATAACAACTTTAATTTGAACTGCAATCTTTTCTTTCTGATTTTGTTGAACAAAACAACTGTCAGTTGGTAATTTCCATAAAAATGACAGATCAGAGTCCCCACCCTGTCCTCTTTTTTGTTTCCTCTTTTATTTGCTAACCCAGCCTCTATTCTGTTCATTTATTTTGATACCCAGCTGAGTTTGGGAGAGACTAACAGAGACAGATTACTTAATTACTTTATGATAAAAAAAATAAAAATAAAAACTGTTTTAATAACAATAAAGAATTATTCATTATGATAGGAGGAGGACCCTCAACTGTGTGTGAGCCCCTGAGTTTGTGCCAAGAATATCCATTAGATATTATGCGTCAGATTATAGAAAATCCCATATGATAGTCCCATAACATGTTCCTATATAACTGAATCAGTCTCTTCTTTCATCCTTTAAAAACTTTTGCACTTTTTAATGATCTTCTAAAATGGAAAAAAATAAAAGGCTGAAAAATGAAGCTAACTTGGAAGCAAATTCCAGTTCCTCATATAGCTGCTTCACTTCTCCACAGACTACCATTTTAAAATTCCCAACTTTAATTCAGAAAATGATATGTTTACAGCCTGTTACAAAATGCTAATCTAAGGCTTAAAGGGGTAAGATCACTTGTATTGATTGGCGTACTAGCACAGGCGGTTGTCATAAATATCCATCCATCCGTCACTTCTTAGGGAATAGCACTGTGTTCCCAAGTAAAATAAACCCTCTCTCTGGGGGAAAGTCTTAATACACCTTGGAAGAGACTTCTTTCAGCTGCTTCTATTTGCAACATCATTCATTAGGTCCCAACTCACAGCTCATGGTCATAGGTGAGGTCAGGAACGTGGATCGACCAGTAAATTGCCACAACAGAGCAGTAAAGCATTCACTTTTCAACAGCTGCTGCGTCAATCCGAACTACCACTTCAGCCAGTTCTAGTCACCAAACTGGACCTTTTCACCTGTTGTTGTGTTACACACTTCAGGACCTTTGCAAGCAATGTGTCAGCTGATATCTCTAAATATGAGTAAGTATTATAAGCACATGTACAGCTGGATATCACTGTGTGTAAAGAGGGAAAAAATAAAATTATGGCAAACTGATGCGTTATTTTGACATTTGTCTTGTTTACCAGAGAAACTGAGCACACTGTCTTGTTGTACCTATGCTTCCAATTTAGCATCCTATCCTAAATTTATAATACCAGCACATGGGAGGGCTTTCGTTCCAATTTACACCCGGCATGGCCTCCAGGATGGAGGTTTCTTTGTTGCGCTAAATTGTCCCTTTGTTGTGACTCTCTGGGCACCGAATAGCTCTTTGTGTTTGCTGACTGATAACGCTTCTGCAAACAGTTATCTTAGTCACACACACATGCGTGGACACAGACAAACACAAACACCCAGTTAGAAGTGTTGGTAACGATGTTACATCCACGTTAGATCACAAACTCACAAACAAACTGACATACAGCGTGATAACAGATGCCTTGATAAGCTTATCTTGTATCCAAGCAGGGGTTTCTCAAGACTGGTCACACCTCCTTGTAGCCACTGTTTCTTCAGAATCCATCAAAAACGGTCCTCCATCTATGATTGGTACTATTCTCTGAGATGAATGATGGCAGTATTATGAACGGCATATATTTGCATTTTATGACCCACTGCAGAAGGCTTGGCACACTGATTAGGTGGCTCGTTTCTCCAAGGCCGGAGAAGGACCATGGACATCTGTCATGCTTTAAACGTATTAGAAGTGTGACAGGGTGTTATCACTAGATTAGGCTGTATATGACCTTGCAGCAATATAGCAAACTTCAAAACCTCAAATTATGAAAGCTTTTATCATATTTGATCAACCCCATTCTGTTTTCTTTGTCTAAGAC